TGTGGTTTTCTGTGTGCGTAGGGTGTAATGCTGGTGATTTTTTCAAAACCACAACCTAGGAATAATTTGGCCGGTTGTTGCATCTCTGTGCGCGTATGTATGGTAGGGTGTTTGCATGGTGTGTGCTAATTTTTTTTTTCGTATCAGTTATTGTTATTAAAAAAAAATTTGTTTCATATAAATTATCAAATAGTTCCTAATTGAAAAGTAAATGGCATTGTTCATTGTTTTTTGAAATAAACTTATACTAAATTTCGTTTGATGCAAGTCTATCTGGGCAGGTGCGACTGTTGTGGTCTGGTAGGTCGCATATATTGCATGTCCTTTCTTTTTTCTTTTGTTTCTTTGTTGTGGCTTTCTCTTTGTAGCTTTTGATTCTCTTCCCACTTCCTTTGTTTTTTGCTACCTTGGGTGGTTTTATTTGTATGTCTCCTGGTTTGGTTGATCCGACTAGCCTTTCAAGCACAGATTCATTGTTGTCACTCTCTTGTGTTTGTGGCCTCTCCCTTTGTAGATCTTCTTTTAGTTGTTGCAATGTTGCCAACATTTTATCCATTTTGTTAGGCCAACCATTTGCCAATCCCATGCAGGTGTAGAATTCACTTCAAAGTTGATTGGCAACTTTTTCTGATTCCTTCGTTGTGGGAATATTTGTTCTTGTTGCCCACGGGACATCGTACAATGGTTGTGTGCGTGCATCTCGTGTCCAGCGTGGAACAATATACTTTTGTGGGATTGTTTCATATCCTGTTGCCTTCATAACCACCAACGCATGCCTGCATAGTATACCAACACGGTTGAATTTCTTGCATGGACACTCTATTTTCTCCGCTTTTGGGATGTGTGTTACTTCAAACGTTTTCTTCCCTGTTTCCTCAACTGTGTACTTCCATATATCGCCTGTGTGGTTTTTGTCGGTGATGTGGCACTTGAAACTGGCTGTCCATATCTCTTCTTGGAATTCATAGAATATGTTTATGGTGTACACGTTAGCAGCGTGTTTCTCAATGCTCAAAGGGCTTTTAGTTTCAGGGTACGAGCCTTCATTCTCTGCAATGAGTTTTTTTTGTTTATGTCGTTGTTCTCCAATTGCGCTGTTGTATTGCGCCATGAATTCTACCAAGCTGCAGTGGTGGTTTGTAAATTTTCCGAAATAGCTGTTTTCTGATTCTGACCTTGATGTTGTCCTCAACAATCCTCCCATGGGTATGTCTGTGAAGTACGCAGGTATCCATGATGCACGCGCCTCATACAGTTGGGCAAACCACCTATGTTCTTCAAGATTGAAGTCTTTCATTAGTGTCTTCCATTTTCTCTCGAATTCATCTACGGGCAGCGTGTCATCCCATACGATACTATTCAGTTCCTTCTTGAAGTTGTCGTTATGCCACAAGGTAACTCCTACCTTTTCACCAACTTTTGTCATAATGTGCCACATACAGAATCTGTGCCGTGTTGTTGGCATAGTTTGTGGTACTGCTATTTTTAGTGCTGGATCCTGGTCAGTTATAGTACATCTTGGGGTGTATTCCATTGCTGTTTTGAACCTTTTTAGTAGCCACTCATACGACTCTACATCTTCTTTCGCAATCAGTCCTGCCCCGAATGTTATGCACCTTTTGTGGTTATCCACCCCCGTGAAAGGGACGAAGACTAACTTGTACCTGCGATGTAAGCATTGTTAGAGTCATTATTGCACGTTATTTTTTGGGTTATAAGGTTTCCATATTTGTTACTGCTGCGCACACTGGTATTGTGTATCATGCACACAGGGTATTATTTTTTATTTTTCATCATTATATTATGCGCACATGTGTATTGTAAGGCATGCACACACAGTGGTCACCAACTATAAACTAATTTGATGTGTACCTGTTTGTGCTGTAAGTTGCGTCGAATGACATGACATCGCCGAAGCATGCAAAATTCCGCCGAGATTCTGCGTCTGCCCAGAATATCCTAGATAATTGAGCTTCTTCGTCTATGTCGAAATCGAAATAGAAGTCCGGGTTTGCCTCTTTTCTTTTGAACAAGTCTTCTATCACCATTTGTGCGTCTGCCTCAGCAATATAGGCTAATAGGTCTCGCCTAAAATTGCAGAAGTCAATGCAGGTTGCTCCGATATCAGTAAAACTTCCCACCATCTCTTTGAACAGTCTGAAAGCTTTTGTCGGGCCTATGTTTGCCTTCGCACAGTTTGCCAAAAATGTTTTGTGGCCGATGTCAAGTTGCCTATTTATCTTTAAAAAAGGTCTGCTGTCCTCCGAGCATAGGCAGTGTTTATGTCGCAGCTGGACTGCATGGACTTTGTATCCGCCAGTGTCACACTTTGTGATTACCATACGCGCCATACAACCTATTCTGTTGGACACTCTTCGCCGTTTGTTTCGTTCTTTTGTGGTGTTGTTGGGTTCCTTCCTTTTGGCCTTGTATCCCTCCCGTGAACACAACATGTATTTAATATACACTTCCCCAAAGCGATTTCTACGCTTTGTGCCATGCCTAACATCAAATCCTGCCTCCATTGCATATGTTTCGTAGAAATCAATCCCGGCCTCTATTGTTTCGAATCGTTGTCCTTCATATGGTGTCGTCTGTTTTTGGGTTGCAGGTGTCCAATATTTGTCACCGTCATCGCCTATTTCCATGTGACATTGTTTTACATTGGGTTCAGATTGTTCCTCACCTGTGGAGCACAATACATACAGATTAGAAGTGGTGTCCAATTGAAATGATGTGCGGTACCATTAACATTCAATTTTAATTTTGTGCACTAGCATTACAGTTGCATTAATCTGGTCGTTTATTGTGCGCCTAAACCCTAACTCTTTGACCAGTTTCTGATTTGCATGCGTCCTATGAATGTGTCACTGCCTGTGTGTTGTGCCCATTCGCTGGGCCTGTTTTAGATGTGTGCATGCTAGTATGGGGTTGTGTGCTTGGGGGCAAACTAGATTTCTGATTCCACGTGTTTCTACCATCAGTCTCTAGTTCAGGGTCTGTGTGTTTTAACAGCCTAGTGGGGGGTTCTGATTTGTGCACGGTAGTTACTGATTATGTGCGCATATTCCTTCTAGCATGGGATAGCTGTTTTCCGAAATAGCTGTTTTCTGATTCTGACCTTGATGTTGTCCTCAACAATCCTCCCATGGGTATGTCTGTGAAGTACGCAGGTATCCATGATGCACGCGCCTCATACAGTTGGGCAAACCACCTATGTTCTTCAAGATTGAAGTCTTTCATTAGTGTCTTCCATTTTCTCTCGAATTCATCTACGGGCAGCGTGTCATCCCATACGATACTATTCAGTTCCTTCTTGAAGTTGTCGTTATGCCACAAGGTAACTCCTACCTTTTCACCAACTTTTGTCATAATGTGCCACATACAGAATCTGTGCCGTGTTGTTGGCATAGTTTGTGGTACTGCTATTTTTAGTGCTGGATCCTGGTCAGTTATAGTACATCTTGGGGTGTATTCCATTGCTGTTTTGAACCTTTTTAGTAGCCACTCATACGACTCTACATCTTCTTTCGCAATCAGTCCTGCCCCGAATGTTATGCACCTTTTGTGGTTATCCACCCCCGTGAAAGGGACGAAGACTAACTTGTACCTGCGATGTAAGCATTGTTAGAGTCATTATTGCACGTTATTTTTTGGGTTATAAGGTTTCCATATTTGTTACTGCTGCGCACACTGGTATTGTGTATCATGCACACAGGGTATTATTTTTTATTTTTCATCATTATATTATGCGCACATGTGTATTGTAAGGCATGCACACACAGTGGTCACCAACTATAAACTAATTTGATGTGTACCTGTTTGTGCTGTAAGTTGCGTCGAATGACATGACATCGCCGAAGCATGCAAAATTCCGCCGAGATTCTGCGTCTGCCCAGAATATCCTAGATAATTGAGCTTCTTCGTCTATGTCGAAATCGAAATAGAAGTCCGGGTTTGCCTCTTTTCTTTTGAACAAGTCTTCTATCACCATTTGTGCGTCTGCCTCAGCAATATAGGCTAATAGGTCTCGCCTAAAATTGCAGAAGTCAATGCAGGTTGCTCCGATATCAGTAAAACTTCCCACCATCTCTTTGAACAGTCTGAAAGCTTTTGTCGGGCCTATGTTTGCCTTCGCACAGTTTGCCAAAAATGTTTTGTGGCCGATGTCAAGTTGCCTATTTATCTTTAAAAAAGGTCTGCTGTCCTCCGAGCATAGGCAGTGTTTATGTCGCAGCTGGACTGCATGGACTTTGTATCCGCCAGTGTCACACTTTGTGATTACCATACGTGCCATACAACCTATTCTGTTGGACACTCTTCGCCGTTTGTTTCGTTCTTTTGTGGTGTTGTTGGGTTCCTTCCTTTTGGCCTTGTATCCCTCCCGTGAACACAACATGTATTTAATATACACTTCCCCAAAGCGATTTCTACGCTTTGTGCCATGCCTAACATCAAATCCTGCCTCCATTGCATATGTTTCGTAGAAATCAATCCCGGCCTCTATTGTTTCGAATCGTTGTCCTTCATATGGTGTCGTCTGTTTTTGGGTTGCAGGTGTCCAATATTTGTCACCGTCATCGCCTATTTCCATGTGACATTGTTTTACATTGGGTTCAGATTGTTCCTCACCTGTGGAGCACAATACATACAGATTAGAAGTGGTGTCCAATTGAAATGATGTGCGGTACCATTAACATTCAATTTTAATTTTGTGCACTAGCATTACAGTTGCATTAATCTGGTCGTTTATTGTGCGCTTAAACCCTAACTCTTTGACCAGTTTCTGATTTGCATGCGTCCTATGAATGTGTCACTGCCTGTGTGTTGTGCCCATTCGCTGGGCCTGTTTTAGATGTGTGCATGCTAGTATGGAGTTGTGTGCTTGGGGGCAAACTAGATTTCTGATTCCACGTGTTTCTACCATCAGTCTCTAGTTCAGGGTCTGTGTGTTTTAACAGCCTAGTGGGGGGTTCTGATTTGTGCACGGTAGTTACTGATTATGTGCGCATATTCCTTCTAGCATGGGATAGCTGTTTTCCGAAATAGCTGTTTTCTGATTCTGACCTTGATGTTGTCCTCAACAATCCTCCCATGGGTATGTCTGTGAAGTACGCAGGTATCCATGATGCACGCGCCTCATACAGTTGGGCAAACCACCTATGTTCTTCAAGATTGAAGTCTTTCATTAGTGTCTTCCATTTTCTCTCGAATTCATCTACGGGCAGCGTGTCATCCCATACGATACTATTCAGTTCCTTCTTGAAGTTGTCGTTATGCCACAAGGTAACTCCTACCTTTTCACCAACTTTTGTCATAATGTGCCACATACAGAATCTGTGCCGTGTTGTTGGCATAGTTTGTGGTACTGCTATTTTTAGTGCTGGATCCTGGTCAGTTATAGTACATCTTGGGGTGTATTCCATTGCTGTTTTGAACCTTTTTAGTAGCCACTCATACGACTCTACATCTTCTTTCGCAATCAGTCCTGCCCCGAATGTTATGCACCTTTTGTGGTTATCCACCCCCGTGAAAGGGACGAAGACTAACTTGTACCTGCGATGTAAGCATTGTTAGAGTCATTATTGCACGTTATTTTTTGGGTTATAAGGTTTCCATATTTGTTACTGCTGCGCACACTGGTATTGTGTATCATGCACACAGGGTATTATTTTTTATTTTTCATCATTATATTATGCGCACATGTGTATTGTAAGGCATGCACACACAGTGGTCACCAACTATAAACTAATTTGATGTGTACCTGTTTGTGCTGTAAGTTGCGTCGAATGACATGACATCGCCGAAGCATGCAAAATTCCGCCGAGATTCTGCGTCTGCCCAGAATATCCTAGATAATTGAGCTTCTTCGTCTATGTCGAAATCGAAATAGAAGTCCGGGTTTGCCTCTTTTCTTTTGAACAAGTCTTCTATCACCATTTGTGCGTCTGCCTCAGCAATATAGGCTAATAGGTCTCGCCTAAAATTGCAGAAGTCAATGCAGGTTGCTCCGATATCAGTAAAACTTCCCACCATCTCTTTGAACAGTCTGAAAGCTTTTGTCGGGCCTATGTTTGCCTTCGCACAGTTTGCCAAAAATGTTTTGTGGCCGATGTCAAGTTGCCTATTTATCTTTAAAAAAGGTCTGTTGTCCTCCGAGCATAGGCAGTGTTTATGTCGCAGCTGGACTGCATGGACTTTGTATCCGCCAGTGTCACACTTTGTGATTACCATACGCGCCATACAACCTATTCTGTTGGACACTCTTCGCCGTTTGTTTCGTTCTTTTGTGGTGTTGTTGGGTTCCTTCCTTTTGGCCTTGTATCCCTCCCGTGAACACAACATGTATTTAATATACACTTCCCCAAAGCGATTTCTACGCTTTGTGCCATGCCTAACATCAAATCCTGCCTCCATTGCATATGTTTCGTAGAAATCAATCTCGGCCTCTATTGTTTCGAATCGTTGTCCTTCATATGGTGTCGTCTGTTTTTGGGTTGCAGGTGTCCAATATTTGTCACCGTCATCGCCTATTTCCATGTGACATTGTTTTACATTGGGTTCAGATTGTTCCTCACCTGTGGAGCACAATACATACAGATTAGAAGTGGTGTCCAATTGAAATGATGTGCGGTACCATTAACATTCAATTTTAATTTTGTGCACTAGCATTACAGTTGCATTAATCTGGTCGTTTATTGTGCGCCTAAACCCTAACTCTTTGACCAGTTTCTGATTTGCATGCGTCCTATGAATGTGTCACTGCCTGTGTGTTGTGCCCATTCGCTGGGCCTGTTTTAGATGTGTGCATGCTAGTATGGGGTTGTGTGCTTGGGGGCAAACTAGATTTCTGATTCCACGTGTTTCTACCATCAGTCTCTAGTTCAGGGTCTGTGTGTTTTAACAGCCTAGTGGGGGGTTCTGATTTGTGCACGGTAGTTACTGATTATGTGCGCATATTCCTTCTAGCATGGGTCATTGTTCCCCCCCCCCCCCCAGGTTGTATTATCTATGGGTTTTGCAGGCTTATGGAGTTTTACAAATGCGTGCATGGTAGCCTTGAAAAGTGATACACATACAATTTCAGATTCTTAATACAGTGTAGGTAAACTATAGTTATCAGTTTCGGGGGTTACCTGGTGGTGGTGGCGGCATAGTGCCGAAGTTTGCATCCATGTTTTCTACCGTGTTCTTTGCTGGAAAATCTGTTGCCGGCGAGGGATGAACTACCGTGGTGTTTATGGGGAGTTTTTGCCGTTTGGTAATGAACTGCCGCTGTCTGATCTGGTTCCTCTTTGTTAATTGTAATCCTACTGTAACTACTCTTCATTATTTTATGATATATATCAGTTTCGTATTTTTAGTCTAATTAGGATAGATTGTAATTGTCATAACTACCCTTTTAATCGTTAATTGTTGTGATGGATTAATTGTTTTTCCTTCAATCTAAGCCATTAATCTATTTTAATCTTATGGCTCATATTAATCCACAGGTTTGTATGTTAAGAGGGTTTGCATGTGAATGGCACCCTATGTATATATATATATACATACATATATATATATATATATATATATATATATATATATATATATATATATATATATATATATATATATATATATATATATATAGGGAAAATCAACGATTTGGTCCCTCAATTGTTAGCGAAATATCAATGTAGTCCCTTAATCGCGAAATCATCCATTTAGTCCCTGGAAATAACTGTTTTTAGTTGATTTGGCTCCTCCGACCGTAGCCCGTTGAAAATCCGGCGACAGCTCCGATTTGGCATGGGTAACTTTGTCATTTCGCATTTTGGTCTTATTCTCCGTCAGACCAAACCCGGCTACGCTCCACAGTACTACCTCGATTCCATTGCGATTGGGGCTTTTGGTGCGGCGGAGCACGGTGTCCTAGTATCCTGCTCTGCTGGAAATTCTGGTCCAGATCCATATACTGCCGTGAACATCGCGCCATGGATTCTCACGGTTGGTGCTTCCACTGTTGATAGGGAATTCCCGGCTGACGTGATATTAGGAGACGACAGGATCTTCAGTGCCGTGTCGTTGTACTCCGGTAAATCCCTCGGCGACAAGAAAACTGCCGGTAGTCTACGGTGGTGATTGCGACAGCAGGTACTGTTATTTTGGTGCACTGGATACTTCAAAAGTCACCAGAAAGATCGTGTTGTGTGACAGAGGAGGCAATGCCAGAGTCACCAAAGGAGCTGCAGTAAAAGAAGCCGGCGGCGTCGGAATGATCCTCGCTAACTTGGCCGATTCTGGTGAAGAGCTTGTGGCCGATGCGCATCCGATCCCCTCATCAATGGTCGGTCAAACGGACGGAGACAAAATCCGTGATTACGTGAGATCCGATTCATCTCCAACTGCCACAATCGAATTTCGCGGAACCGTAATCAGTTCCTCGCCGGCGGCGCCGCGAGTGGCTGCTTTCTCAAGCCGCGACCCGAACATCGTTACTTCTGAAATTCTCAAACCGGATGTGATCGCTCCCGGGGTTAACATTCTAGCGGGCTGGACCGGCGCCATAGGTCCCACCGATTTGGACATTGATACAAGAAGAGTGAACTTCAACATTATCTCCGGCACCTCCATGTCCTGTCCTCATGTGAGTGGATTGGCTGCCTTGCTTCGAAAGGCCTATCCAAACTGGACCCCAGCCGCCATCAAATCCGCACTCATGACCACGGCTTACAACGTGGACAACTCCGGGAGCAATATTACTGACCTAGCCACCGGCTCAGATTCCTCCCCGTTTGTTCACGGATCCGGGCACGTTGATCCGAACAGAGCACTGGATCCGGGTTTGGTCTACGATTTGGAAGTGAGAAATGACCAAAATGCGAAATGATAAAGTTACCCATGCCAAATCGGAGCTTTCGCCGGATTTTCAACGGGCTACGGTCGGAGGGGCCAAATCAACTAAAAACAGTTATTTCCAGGGACTAAATCGATGATTTCGCGATTAAGGGACTACATTGATATTTTGTTAACAATTGAGGGACCAAATCGTTGATTTTCCATATATATATATATATATATATATATATATATATATATATATATATATATATATATATATATATACTTCTTTGAATATATATTGTATATTGCATCGGTGGAAGAAGCTTAGGCTTTACTTTGGTAGATAAGGTTGGACATGTGTACAGGTTGGACTCTTGGCGTATAAGGTGGATTGGAGTTTGGTTGGATATTGAATATTTGATTATTGATATTGATATATGTATTCCTTTGGCTATATATATATACCACTATGCTTGTTGTTGTGTTTGACTCTTGGAAACCTTATTGTTGAGTAATTGGTTATTCCCGTTGTTGGCTTATGAACTTGTGACCGTATCTATTTTTAGTCCCTCAATTATGAGCGGAGTGACGCATTTGGTCCCCGACCGTTAAAACTGACGGAAAAATTTAAAAATATTTAAAATTTGAGCGGTAAAGTAGAAAATTCACATTTTATTCTCCTTCTTATGTCAAAACCATTTTCACAACATTATTTTTTCACTTCTTAGCCTCTTATTTTAAGATTGTTCAATTCTAAAAGCATTTCAATAGCTTTAGTATGACTTATTAGAAACTTGGCTCTCGTATAACAAACTTAAGACTTAGCACAAACAAAGAAACACTTGATCATTGTCTTCAGACGTGTGAAACACATTATCCTATCAATTTTCAATTTTCAATTTTCTTTACTAAGCAACAAATGTAATCAAACCAGAATTTTTGAGATACAAAATGATGTCAAACTTCTCAGGTTGCTTTTATGAGAAATTCACCAACGGAATAACTTGAGATTTTTAGTATGTAATTTTTGTTATGCAGTAGTTTAGTCAATAATCGTTTTTAGAAGTTACAAAAGTTTTTAGAATTTTCATAACTGAGTCTTAGGTTACACATTCATTTCTCTGGTTTTTAAGAAGACAGAGGAGGTGATGGATATATATATATATATATATATATATATATATATATATATATATATATATATATATATATATATATATATATATATTGTCAGGATATAGATTCTTGATTAAGTTACTGCAGAGCTTACGAAAGAATTTTACGTACTAAAAATCTCAAGTTACTCCATTAGTGAATTTGTTATAAAAATAACCTGAGAAATTTGATATCTTGTATTTCAAAAGTCATGGTTTGATTATCATTATGTTTAGTAATGGAAATAAAAAAACTTTTAGGATGACGGGTTTCACATGCTTGAAGACAATGATCAATTGTTCTCTTGTTTGTACTGAGTCACAGGTTCCTTATACAAGACTCAGGTTACTAACAAGTCATACGAAGGTTATTGAATTGTTTTTGGAATTGAAGAATGTAACCTTGAAATAGGAGGCTAGGAAGTTAAAAATAATGTTGCAAAAGTGAATAAAATGTGAATTTCCTACTTTACCACTAAGATTTTAAATATTTTTTTTTTATTTTTCCGTCAGTTTTAACGGTCGGGCACCAAATGCGCCACTTCGCTCATAACTGAGGGACTAAAAATTGATACGGTCATAACTCACGAACTGAGTCGTCACTACCATTATAACTCAGGGACCAAATTTGTAAATTTTCATTTAATATTTATAATAAAAATAAGCTAGGGTTCGAACCCCAACCTTACCATTGTAAGTAAGTTTTAAAGGTTATTTTTTATCCATTGGACCAATGTCTAAGGCACCAAGCTAGCAACCTCTCTTGCAAAAGGAAGTTTTTTATTTTTATTTTTATTTTTATACAAATTTGATAGTGAAAAACATCATTAGACAAAAGTGAAAGTTGGTCATAGTAACTACATTCACGCTTCTACGTTTTATTCCTAGTATAAATGACCTATTGAGCTTCTTCGTTTAAGCTGGTTAGTTATGAACAACTTAAGTTGATTTACCTCATTATGGTCGTTTGTTGGTTAGGATCACAAGACATGCACCATTGAATAGTGACTGAGAGTTTTTCTCGTCATCCAAAAAATAGAAGTTGATGTGTAAAAAAGGTGAAATCATTATATATAGTTGATAAACCAATTCATAATTTACTCATCATCTCTCAATTATTCGCGATACAAATTTAGTTTCTAAGTGTTGGTTCTAAGCAAGCTAAAAGTCTAGAAAGGGGGTGGGGGTGTGTGTGTTGAATAGACTTTTGAGTATTTTTAAACTTTTCGAAATAGCTCTAAATGAGCTTGAATTTGCAAATCAAAGCTAGGAAACAAGTTTTCTTGTAGGGAAATTCTTGAAGCTTGCTGATAAAACAATGTAGCTAAGTTTTGCGATTTCGTTGTGATAGTGTGTGTTAAATTATGATGAGGTTAGTTATTCGTAAAAGTAATATAATGAAAATGAATAACCGAGATAGATGGATATTTATAGTGTTTTAGAAAACTTTCCTACTCAACTCTTTCCCTTAAATTCAAGGAGGATTCTACTAAGTATTTGGTTACACAGATACAAAGCTGAATGAATTGAAGCCTACAACTTTTACCGGTTAACAGTCATTGAGGCATGGGTCAACCACAAAGTCATTTTATCCTTCGATGCTTAACCAGGACTAGCAAAGGGTCAGTCACGAAGTCGCCTTGCTAGCTAGGTTGATCTCCAATCCCAACTTCCTTCAGCTTGAAAGATGGTTATGGTTGTATGTTGGACTTGAAATAATCAAACTGATTCTTTTTTAGCTTAGAAGACTTGATGTAGCAGCAAAGCTTTGAGAATACTTTTCACAACCAATCTTTTTCTTCTAAGCTTGAGGTCCTCATTTTAAAGATGAGGAGGGGTACGTGAGTGCCAACTTTAAATTTGAATTTGTCCATTGTCACTCAACAAGTGGTAGGGGTCCAAAAGCTGCCATAATCCCCTAAAATCCGTTGTCATATCTCTTAACTTGTGCAACTTAATATCCATAGGGTAATGATCGTTTACCTATCAATGCATAAGAACACTTTAGTAAAAAAGAACTGCTCTACTTGTCACCAATTTGTCTTGCGTGTATGTAGACTTATAAGTGATAGACAAGTTGCATTTGTCTAACGACTCTTTTTGTTCTTCCTTGTATGAGCTTCTTCCGAGGATGATCTTCCTTAAAAGGTATTCAATAAAGTTCCATGATCTTGGATAATAACATTAAATTCC